GTATTTTATCCAAAATATTTTTTAGTAGTTTATTTAGGTTTGCCCCATTGAGAGTGATGGTACGTACCAAATTTCATAAGTAAAAAAAATTAAAAATAAAATACTTTAAGACATCGGATCTAGATTAAATGGTTAATAGCTCACTTGATCTAAAATTAAACAGCTGGATGAAGGGAAAGTATATATCTTTTATGCTGTAGGGGAAACGTAGAAATCTTTCCCTTGCTAAATACCACTAACTACAAAAGAAACGTAGAAATCTTTCCCTTGCTAAATACCACTAACTACAAAAGACACTTGCAAAAATTTTGATTTTTTGAATTATAATTTTGTAGTTGTCGTTATTCAAGTTCCACAAATTGTGGTTAACCATAGATCAATACTAATGTATTTTCCAACAAATAGACACCTCTGTCAGAACTCAACTATATTGCCAGAATTTCTACCATGAAATGCAATACACTACATTAGACAAATTATTTTTTGCAGTATAAAGGAAAGATATACAATAATACTATTCAGTTTTAAGCAAGGAGATCGCAATCACCATTGATTATTAGATGTGAGATTGGAATGTTTGAGGTTTGTAATTGATTGGGCACAAAACTTAAAATAAATTTTCTCGAACTATGTGACACATCTAAACGATCAGATTTAACATCTTATAACTAAAAGTGATTGCAATCGTCTAGTACCAAAAGTGAATAATCTTACAGTATACAATCCTTTCCTAAGTGTAAATCATGTTATCTCTTATGCATCAATCCTATTACACCACTTTATTTGAATAAGATCTCTTCTATAGGTTGTACATCCATTTCCGTTCATCCATTCGCACACATGAACACACACACCCACATACACTCTTATGCACACACATAAACACGCAATCCTTTGGAGTCTTACCATAGTTACTTAAAGAAGACCAAGTCTTATAGGAACATCATAGGCCGGTTACAGCATTTGGTACACTATGTCAGAGATAACTTTCTTTTTATCAGGATATGGATATCTCGAGTTCATATTGATATACATCATTATGGATGTATGTGTATATATCTCTTTATAAGATTAGGTATCTAGAAGATAAGAAGAGACCCAGTCAAAGTAACGTAGTCATTAAGTTATCATACCATAATTATCTCATCTAATTGTATGAATGTCCTTTATATATAGAGGTACTTATTGATGTAAACATTTATCCAAAATAGTGAAGATGTAGCCAGTTGGGCTTTAGATCCGTGGACGTGAGCCTTCGGCCTGAACCACATAAATGTTATGTTCTCTTTTTTTCTCTTTCCATTCAATGTCTGTGCATGTACCACGAATTCTAACACCTTTGTTCCTAATAAAGAATGGAGATGAACTATAATATTCAAGAATGGAGAAGAACTGTTGGATGTCCTGTGGATAGGTAGGTTTCATGGACCAAGGGATATTTTTCATTTTTGATGCATATACTATGCTCCCATAGAAGAAAATTGTGTGGTTACTCCTTCTAGCGGAAGACTAATTTGGGAAGATTTTTTAGGAACTACTTAAAAATCATTAGATGATTATATTCAAAAGACAAAAATTGAACTTTGAATTTTCTAACACTTTAATTTCACTTTCCAAATTCTATCCAATCTTAAGGCATTATTTTTTTTAATGCCCACAGCTAATGCAATTTGGAAATTTTTTATTGAGTATAACATATGGGTTGAATCGGTTACATCCCCAATATGTGAAGATCTCAAGATACTCCTAAATTGAGCTTTGCGTAAGAGAGTAAATAGACAATTTGCTCCCTCGGGAGCATGAATCTTTTGGCTCCTATTTTAAAGCTAGGAACTATGCATGGGATGGGAGCACGCTGCTCACTACTTCCTCAGGGCAAACACCTCCAAGTGGAATTTATAGTTTTTTCATCTTAAAATTTGGTATGCACTTTTGAATCGGCGTATTTTTATTTTATTTTTTTCTCCAAACAGGATTTTATTTCTTATAAACTTAAATTCAACATGAAACTTGGACAGTCTCATATTCAATCTAATGAAGTTCAAGTTGTCATTTCCAGACAGAGTGCATAGTGATTTTCCTTTTTGGTTTCGTTTTTTTTTTTTTTTTTTCTTTTTAAGGTTGCATCCCCAAAATGGTCCTAAAAAGCATACAAATTAAGGATTTATGTGAGTAGAATATGCTCCTGCAGGAGCATATGCTTCATGGGAATATGTAATAGTCATAATTCTGGATTCAAATTGGAATACATAGTCAGGGAAGTATGGTGTAAACTTGGGTTTTGAGTGTATCCTGAAATATATTTGAACGAGCGTTTAAAAAATCGCCGAGTCGAACCGGACTCGCCCGGTTCGACTCGGAATTCACGAAAAAGGTACCGGATCGGTTCAAAAACCGGGAATCGTCCGGTTTTAGAGAGAACCGGACAATTCCGCACAGTGACTCGCCGATTAACTGTGCGGAATCGGCGAGTCCGTGAAGAACACGAGTTGCACAATATTCTTCACGGATTTTTTCAAATTTATCATTTTTTGATCATTTTTTTTGTTTTTTTCGGCATGTGATCTGTTTTGCAGGCTGTAAACAGCTTTATTCAGCTTTTTCAATGATTAAATGGTGGAAAAATTAGTTGTTTTTGGATCAAGAAAAATTCGGGGTTTAGGGTTTCCGGCATTTCTGAAATTTCATGCCAAATAGGGCATGAATCCTTCAAAATTTGTGGGCATATTGATCTTAAAGCTATGAATCAAAA